TTCTGATAGCCCACTAAATCCAAATATGCACATGCAACCTACCTGTGGACACACCTTTCAAGGAAAAATGACTCCCCTTCTCCACCACCATCAGTTGCCAACAGTTCCTCAGCAAAGGGCAATACCTCAGGGCCCCTCTCTACTAATGCTAGTTTGATTTTGTTCAGGTAACTGTAGCTGCTATGCGTTTGTGAGTGCAACTGGCTGTGTCATGTCCAAAGGACATCACTTCATACGATTCCTCCTAATCCTCTGGCTCTTAGATTCTTTTTGCCCCTCCTCTTTAGTGTTCCATGAGCCATGTGGAGGTCTCACTAATAATAATAATAATAATAATAATAATAATAATAATAATAATAATTGACTCAACAGTCAGTTATTGTTAGCTCTTTGACCGGTTAACTACTGCCTGCCTCAGAAAGGAGTTTCACTGACTGAGAGCAGCACTAAATATGAGTATAAACATAAAAATCTAGAAAGCAGATTGACAACATGTCTGTTTGGCCAAACAATAGTAAGCAATGGGTTCCCTTCTAGGGCTTATGACTTCCCCAGCCATGGGCTTTTGCCTGGACAGCAGGCCTCAGATCCAATCAGAAAACAGTTTTTAATTCCTTAACAGTCATGCCTCTATTGCACCTGGAGACAGCTCGCTCAGTAGGTTAGTATTACAGCATGCAGGGTCTATCACTAGATAAGTCCATAGATGACTGTTTTTTCCTCCAGTGAACTTTTAGCACTATGAGAGCTAGCCATCAAGGAGGAAGTTTCTGGATCAGTTGTAGCTATCCTCTGCTTGATGGAAAGAAAGTGGTTCAGGAGTGCCGACCATGGTAGTGAGTCCATGAGTCCCTCTGCCTGCCTTTCCTCAGTTTGCTCAGGGTACTGTGGGACTCTTTCACTGGCTGGCCGTTGAGGCTTGTCTTACGTAAGCCCTGAAACAGGTTTTTGAAAAGCCATGGATAAAGAAGGTATATGGTCATATAGTGTACAGTGTTGATGGACTGTCTTATTCTTTGTCCCTGCCAAGAAATTCTTTCTGTTATGCTTTGATAGTTGTATGTGAAAATTATTGCCTGAGGTTGGTATTTAATGAAATGCAAAATAAGAAATCTCTTGGGACTTCATAGGCTCTGGGCCTAACTGGTACAGGTCAGAGATAGAGGACCTTAGGCTTGGCCCTGACTTGTCCCCATTTCTTTTTACTTTTGGCCTTGTAGGCACTTAGTGCTCCTAACCAAATCTAACCCAGGCCTGAGAATCAAAGGTTTGTTGGATGTTCGTTTGGAAAGAATCCGACTTTAAGGTAAACTTGTTTGAGTGTATCTGGTCTTATCTATGTGACTCTCCAGTCACGCTCTGCTTTCCTTTCTGCGTGTTTGTAGAGCCACAGCTGACCCTCTCGTCCCGTGCTTCCTTTAAATGCCAGCCATGTATGTTTATCCACAAGCCTGAGGAAATACCAGAACCTGTCTGTGCTCAGTTCTCAAAATATCAGCAACTGTGGGCCACCAGTGCCAGGGATGTTAGCAGCCTCACACGCACACTTGATGAGGACTGCTATGATGCTAAGTGGGTCTGAATAAAGGGAGCTGGAAATCTGTTTTTTAACTCCTAGCTTAACTAGCCATAACATGTCACCCTCCAGAGATGGAGTTATAGGTGGTTGTGAGCCTGGAGTAGGTGCTGGGAACTGAACTCAGGTCCTCGGGAAGAGCAGCGAGCTCTCTTAACCACAGAGCTTTCTCTCCAGACCCTCCAACATTTATAATTTTTATATAAGTGATATTTGGATATGTTTTAATTTAAAAATATACTGAGAGTAGTGGTGCACACCCTCAGTCCCAGCACTCCGGAGGCAGAGGCAGGTGGATCTCTGTGAGTTCCAGGATAGCCAGGCCTGCATAGAGAAACCTTGCCTAGGAAAACAAAAACAACTATATGTACATACACACAGTTCAAAATAAGTGGGTTGTTTAAAAGTCCCGTCAGTCAACTATGGCCCCTCCTCCTTTTTTGTACTAAATAAGCCTGGTGTGTATTTGTTCTATTGAAGCAAACAGCAGGCATCCTATAATTTGGTGCACATGCAAATCAGTTTTGCAGTGCATAGGTTTCCATGCCCTTGCTCTGAGCCTATCCTTTTTCAGATAGCTTTGTTACTCTTAGGCATTTATTTTCTCTTCCAGGTGAAGACATATATATTGCATTTATACATTAGTGGGCATTTTAAAACATTTGACATTTTCTGTCCAGGAACATGATCCATTTCTCTACTTACTTGACTCTTCTGCATCCTTTAATAAAGTTTCACATTGGTTTGTGTATGTACCTCTTCTGGGTTTCTGTTCCTGTTTATTTCTGTTGGTTTTTTGTTAGGTTTGTTCTTAGATACCCCATAGTTTTTCATACTCTTCTGTGAACGCATATTTAGTAACATTTCCCATTGGTCACTGCTAGGGCACAACAGTAAGTAACACTGTGGGTGCTTATCCCAACAAGCCCATGTTTGCTTGTTATCTCTATCTCACGGATGAATAAACTAGGTTTGCTTGTTTGTTTTTCAATGTTTGTCATGGACTGGGTCACCTGTGATGCTCCATAAGGAAAACAGGTTCGTTTTGATTCAGATCTGGAGCTCCAGGGTGATGGCCTTGGTGTTGGCAGAGTTCTGAGGTGGTGCATGTAGCAGGCAGCAAGAGACCAGATGTGTTTGTGTCCCTCCCTCTCTTCCCCCATCCCCTTCCTGCTTGTCTTCTCTCTCCCTCTTTTTTTTTTTTTCCTTGCTATATGAATCCTTCAGAGTTCCATCATGGGGGTTCCACATTAATGGCCTAATCCTAATCTTTTTTTCAAAGGTTCCACCTCTAAATGCTATATTTGTGTTAAGTTTCTACTCTCTTGACACTTCACAGTGGAGACAGTCAAACCATTCTAGAATTGGTTTCTAAGAGGATAGGTACAACTAAGATGACTTTATCAAGGCCTAGCGTTCTGGACACCATCCTGTCCTGATGCACATGGCTAGAGAAGTGTGTATCACTGCAAGGATGGCTGGGCAGCTGTTCCAGACCCTGCAGCTGTGGGCATCGGGCTTGCCTCCTGCTAGCCAGGGCAAGTTGAGAGAAGAGGCTGCTGGAACCACTCTATCTAGACCTGGCTTCTTTTCTTTTGGTTTTGAGACAGGGTCTTGCTATGTATCCCTGGCTGGCTTGGGATTCTCTCATCTCCCTAGGGCTTTCTTGCTTGACCTTGGGTATTGGCCAGGCCTGACCCTTCAGCTGAGGTGCCTGGAGGCTTCTGTTGCAGACACTGGCTCTAGCAGGCAGCTCGATACCAGGGCCACCCACTCTCTGCCATGAAGCTTGAACAGGAGCATGTAGGTTTTCTTAACAAAAGCTAATGAGTTTTTCCCTTACCTTATTTTATTCATTCATTCATTTGTTATTTTTTGAGGCAGGGCCTCATCATGTAGCCCTGGCTGTCCTGGAACTCACTACCTAGACAAGGCTGACCTCAAACTCACAGAGATCTTCTTGCCTCTGCCTCCTGAATGCTGGGATTAAAGGTGTGAGCGGCCACCGACAGTGTTTTCTCCTTTTAAAAGTAACACTTGTTAAGGAGTATCTGAAAAATAAAGAAAACTTAGGAAAGAAGAATTGCTTATTGCTGTATTGCCCAAGCACGGTCCCGTTAGCATTGTAGTGCGTTTTCTTTTACTCTTGCCTTCTTTATGTTTAGATTATTATTTTTTTAATAATAATGTTGTCTGTACCCTGCTTTTCCTTTTTTTTCTACCTGTATTCTTTGGGAATATCATGTTTAGTTTACATTTGTGGTCTTGACCCCTTGAAGGCAAAACATTTCCTTTAATGAAATCCATAGATTTCTTTAGAGCCCCTTTTAAAAATTGGTGTGCGCGTGTGTGTGCGTGCAGAAGTGTGTAAATGTCATGACACACACGGGAGACACCTTTGAGGATTCTCCTCTCACCTTGTTAATCGGGTCTCTATTTCTTGTGTTCTGTGACTTCACATGGCTGGTCACCAACACCCTGGCTGTCTCCACTTTGTCATTGGAGTGCTGGATTAGAGATGTGTGCCATTCATTGCACACAGATTTTTAGTAGGTTCCAGGGATGGAACTCAGGTTGTCAGGAGTGCACAATCATCTTGCTAGCTCAAATTGGCTGAACTTGTGAATTTATGTTTTCTGTCTTCACCCTCTTTTTGAGGTAGTTATTCTAGTTTCTATATGAATCTGAACTTACATTTATTTACCTAAAACTTTCCTGAAACTTCAGACAGGCCTGTTCATTCTATTTCCTTTGGTTTGATGAACAAAGTTTTATTTTCTTCTTTGAACACTGCCCTCCTCTTCCTCCTAGAGATGCTCCTTTGGACAGTAACCCTGTCACTGTGCTCCCAACCCCCATGTGGACATGCCATATATCCAGCACTGGGTGTTTCGCTAGCCGCAAGGCGGGCATGTGCGCTGGAGAGAAAATTTCTCTCTCTGCCTTTCCCACACACATCTGTTCTTTTCTTTATTGCCCAGGGTACTCTGTTGAGTGCATCCAGGCTCCTCCCTGTCACCTAGTGCCTGCCTCCATCTTTCCCCTTCTTGACTTCTGCTGATCCCCTGTGACCCCTTCACTGGTGCTGTCCATGCATTGCTGTCACCACAGCTCCTGCTCCTGCTTCCCCTTGCTGAGTGAGTTTGTGTGACCTTCGCACTGTATTCATGCTGTGGGATTTACATGCTATAGTGATGTCAGGGTGGAGGTTAGCAGATGGCAACAAAACAGTGAGACCTGACATGTTCTAATGACTCCCTCCTTCCCACTCTCACTGGCCAAGCCAGTGGAGGGCAGGGGTTCCTTGAAGTATTTAAGGAGGGGGTCAAGGGGAATCAGGGGTGGGGCCCAGGTGCCGATGAAGCCTGTGACCTTTGCTGCTATAATATCAGTGTTTCACAAGCAGGGCGGTTCAGGAACCCACTTGCAGCCCATCAAAAATTGATTTAATTGCAATTTTTCCTCCAATTAGGAGCACTGGAGCCTGACTAATTGGAGTAATAGAGAGTAATAAGGCTCAGATAAAAGCCTTCCCCGCTTCCTTTGTATCTTATGTCAGTCCCGCCAGAGGTCAGGGAGCTTGCATATTCTATTAGGCAGCCCAGCCTTCATTTGTACAAATTAGTTTACCCAACAGTAATTAAAATGCCAATGCGGGTTGAAGAGGACTGAATACACTTGATGGGCATGTTGGTGAATGATGTGACAGCTCTGGTGGCCTCCCTTGCCAAAGTGTGTCAGCCTGGGCTCAGGCTGCAGGGGCCTAGGCCAGCTGGGTGGCTCTGGCCGTCCACGGGGCACAGCTGCTAAGAAAAAGCGCTTCTGCTGCCTGTCTCAGGGCCAGGCTCTTCTTCTTCTCCAGGTAGAATCATTTGTTCAACTTGTTGATTCATTTAGTCACTCGTTCAGGAACTTCAGGGACTTCAGGCAGACATTGTCCTATGTTCTGGGAACCCAAACAAAATTAACTTGATAAATAGCTCACATGCAAGTTGGTGGGGTGAGGGGTGATATAATGGAGTGTGGAATTAAGAGGGCCAACCCTAACCCTACTACTTGCTGCTCAGGTGAATAAGAGGCTTTTACTACCTCCCGAGCTTCCTAGTCTGTGGGGAAATGCTAGTAAAATACTTGCTTAACACCTTACACAGAGTAGGGGCTCAATGAATTACAGTTGCTTGGTAAGGTGATGCATGCTTGTAATAGTATACTTGGAGGCTGAGGGAGGAAGACTGAGAGTTCCAGGTTAGTCTGGGCCACGTCTCTAAACAAACAGTAAACGACAACCATCTGTCTGGAGAACTGGATCCAGTACTGTCCCCTAGTCAATACAAAACGTTCACATGTGCAAGTCTCTTCTTTAATAAATGCACACAGCCAGCAGCTGGTGTATTCCTGTAATCCCAGCACTTAGGAGTGAGAAGCAGAAGGACCACTGAAGTTTGATGCCACCCTGAGCTTCAGAGTGAGTTCCCAGTCAGTCAGGGCTCTCCTCTCCAAACCAAACCAAACCAGCCAAACCAAGTAAAGGGGCTGGAGAGATGGCTCATTGGTTAAGAGCACTTGCTGCCTTCGCATAGCCCCTGGGTTTGACTCTCAGCCCCATGAAGGGCAGCTCACAACTGCATGTAAGCCCAGCTCCAGGGTTGATGTCCCTTCTTACCCTCCATTTTCTGAAATTTCCTAACCTTCTGTTCTTCATCCTGCTACAGGACCCCCGATTTTCCTAGTGTCTTTCTTGATTGGACTCTGCGTCCACTCAGGGCCTTATGGCTTATGTGATGCCACATCTGCCTGAGGTAGGGCTAAGTGGCAGGTTGAGGGTCTGGGTAAGGGCTGAGAACGGGTGAGAAATTTTAGGCTAACTTTGTTATTAAAAAGAAAAAGTAAAAGCCGGGCGGTGGTGGCGCACGCCTTTAATCCCAGCACTCGGGAAGCAGAGGCAGGCGGATCTCTGTGAGTTTGAGGCCCGGCTGGACCGATAGCCTCCAAATAGCTTCCAAAACAATACAGAGAAACCCTGTCTCGTAAAAACAAAAAAACAAAAACAAAAAAAGTATAGCTTATTGAGTCTGAGGGACTGTCACTCCTCATCCGTGGGTAACTGCAGTGTGTTACTGCTCAGGTTTGAGAGTCTTTGATGATTTGGGGAGTACTCCTTTAAGAAGCAGAAGGACCAGTTTCACTGGCTGTTTGATTGGCTTCTCCCTGTTGTTTTTGAATTCTGGGAGGCCCCTTTCTGGTCAGTTTCATGGCTCTGTATTGAGTGCCCTTTGGGCTAGGCACTGCACTAGACACAGGAGTACATGTGGGCAGTAACCTAGGAGGAGCCATGGAAGGAATGCATGTGTTTCATTTCACTGATAAGAATTCTAACAGGCTTGGCATAGGATAAAGCGTGTGGGGACCATGGTGGATTCCATGGCAGGTGAGGGTGACTGAGGGTGGGGGGGCCGAGCCTGTTAACAGGTGGTGCTGAGAGTGTGATCGGGGTTTGAGCTGCTGATGCGGCTGTCTATGCGATGCCCAAGGCCAAGGGAAAGACTTGAGGCAGAAGTTCGGTTACAATGTCAACCGAGAGAGTCTGAACCGGAATGCTCGTTGGAAGGCTGTGCCACGGATCGAGTGCTCCCACATCCGACATGCCTGGGACCACACCAAATCCGTGTTGCAGAACCTGGCCGAGATGGGGTTGGCTGTGGACCCCAACAAGGTGGTTCCCCTCCGTAAGAGGAAGGTAAAGGCCATGGAGGTAGACACAGAGGGGAGACCCAAGGACCTTGTACTGAAGCCCTATGTGCTGAATGACCTGGAGCCAGAAGCCCGCCTCCCAGAGAAGAAAGGAAATACCTTATCTCAGGACCTCATTGAATATGTTCATTACATGGGGGCAAATCATGGGGAGGACTATAAGGCTATGGCCCGGGATGAGAAGAATTACTATCAAGATACACCAAAGCAGATTCGGAATAAGGTCAATGTCTATAAGAGCTTTTACCCAACAGAGTGGCAAACCTTCATCGGTTCTTGGCAGAATAAGAAGATGGAGGTTGACTGAGTGGTGGGCACCCCCATGCTTAGGTCTCTGGACCAAAGAAGCCAAAGCAAGGAGTATATTGTTTCAGACGATGCTGGTAAAGTCCTATAGAATCAGACTTTACACACTTACACACACACACTCGTGAGAAGAAACTTTTTTTTTTTCTAGAGAAAGAGGGTCTTTCTAATAGCAGTAGATGACCTGGAACTCAGCTTTGTAGGCTGGGCTGGCCTCAAACCCAGAGATCCACCTGCCTTTGCTCCGAGTGCTGGGATTCAGGGGAAAGTTGCGCCCCCACACCTAGCTGGAGAAGGAACTCTTTAGAGGCCATGGCTTATGCTCTCTTGGGCTCAGAAAGGCCAGGGCTTGCTGCTCAGTGTCCAGAGGTGATGCTTTGATTGTGATCTGTACATGTAAAGAGCATTTTACCTGTGTAATGGGGTTTTTGTTGTTGCTATTTTGAGACAGGGTTTCTCTGTGTAGCCCTGACTGGGATTAAAGTCATGTGCCACCAAAAAAGAAAAAAAAGGGGGGGGGGGGAGGGGGAAGGAAAGAGAAAGGAGGTGAAGAGACACAGAGAGAAGACAGAAGAGAAAGGGGAGACAGGAAAAGTCCAGTCTGCCCCAGGGGAACAATGGAGGAGAGTGTAAATGGGTGGGGTCTCTCTTTTAAAGGGGTCCTTTGCACCTGCGTACAGACTAGTAGTCATGGAACCCTGGGCTGACCAGGGTACTGCCTGAGTGCATTCTGCGAGGTGACAGGGGCAGCCAGCATAATGCCTGAATCCTTTCACCCAGCATAGTGAAAAGTATGGTACAAACCCAGCACAGACATCAGGCTGGCCTCTAGCAAGCAAAAGATCAGGACAGGTTTTACATTAGGGAGCAAGTGAAAGGTTCAGGCATTACGCTGGCCTGCCCTGTTACCTGGCAGGATGCACTCAGGCAGCACTCTGGCCAGCCCAGAGTTCTGTGAGAACCACGCAGGTGCAAAGGACCCCTTTAAAGGACTGACCCCTGCCGGCTTACGCTCTCTCACTCTCTTACTCTTTTACTCTCTCTTACTCTCTCTCTGTCTCTGTCTCGCTCTCTCTCATATCTTATCTCTCTCTCTGCTCTGTACGGGTTAGTTACCTCTCACCCCCTTTCTCTCCCTGTCTACCAATAAACTCCACGTGGGATCATTGAGTTACGGTTTGTGTCTCATTACTGGATAAACCTAAACATTTTAACAACAGCAAGGGCTGTGGAGCTTAGAGAACTGGAGGTGAAACTTGCCAGTAGGCATAGCCCCCCCATCCCATCCCACCCCCCTTTAGGTTTTCAAGACAGGGTTTCTCTGTGTAAGAGCCCTGGCTGTCCTGGAACTTGTAGACCAGGCTGGCTTTGAACTCACAGAGATCTCCTGCCTCTGCCTCCCAAGTGCTGGGATTAAAGGTGTGTGCCACCACCTCCAAGCACCAATTGCTCTTCCAAACATTCTATCAAGATGGGACTGGGAAGGTGCTGAGTGTTGGCAGCCCTGTCTGGGAGCCCTGTTTCAGACTGGCCATGCTCACCTCTCAGTATGTCTTCAAATGTGGCATCTCCTGCTTTTGCCACACTCTTCCTAATGACCATAGGCATTGGGAAGAGAGCAGGCAGAAAGCAGAGCCGCAGCAGTGGGAGAAGTCCCAGGAGCACGGGACTGCGTCTGTAGCTAGCTCGACTCCTGGACACCAGGTAGTCCCTTGAGTTGGTCATGCTCCCCAGCTGATCCATCTATCTTCGGTCTGAAGCTCACATGGCATTTCTGTTACTAAACTCTTAGGCTTCACAGCATCTAGACAAAGGGGAAAGGACACCTAGGCAAAGAAGGAAACATTTATAGGTATCTTTTATAGGCTATAAAAGAGGTGAGGGGCCCTCTTCTTGGTAGCAGATGGCCAGGGGTGAATGGGACAAACAGAGGACAGGAGTCCCTTGGGAAGGGTTTGCATCCCCCATCCCTACCCCACGGCTGGGAGGTCAGGACTGCTGGAGTGGCAGGGATTAACTTCCAGGCTCCTCCCCCACCTCTCTCTATTGATTTACCTTGAGACTAATTTAGGCCTGTGGCCAAGGGGCCCAGAAAGGCTTCCTCAAGAGATGTCTATGTCTGTGCTGGCGCCCTTCACCTGGCCCTAACTCCTCAAGTCTGGAGAGCCCAATTGCCTGCTCCAATGATTTCCAAGTAGCTATTATGTTTCCAAGCCACGGTAATTGGCTTTACCAGTTATTAATGGGTTGCTCTAAAGAGAAAATGCAGGAGGAGCAAGGCGAGGGTAACACCTCCTGGCTCCGCAGTTTGGTTCCTTGGTGTCCAGTGGCTGCTGCCCAGGCTAGGAATCACTTGGGGCATGCCAGGCAAGAGAGGCTGTTTGTCACTGCCACTTCGTGTAGAATGGCTGCTGGCTGTGCTGTACAAGAAGCGGAAACTGGGATGCTATCATCTCCCTGGAGGAAGCCTTGCAAGCCTGAGGCTTGAGAGCCCCGGGATGTCTTGTTTGGATGACACGTGGATACTAGTCTACAGTTTTGATAGTAAACCAGCCACTTGGCCAGTGCCAATGCAGACATCCCTCATCACCAACTGGCAGCTGGCTGCTCACCTGATGTATTGTCCAAGCCACTGTCCCTTTCAGAGCCTTCTCATAGAACTCTGCCTCCCACTGACATGTTGGGAACAGAGAGCACAGGTGCTGGGCAGTGCAGGCCAATGGCCTGCTTGCCTACATGGTTTACTACGTGTCATTAGTGTATCCAGAATTCTTTCCCTTGTGCAGGACATTTAGGGACCCAGCCCATCCCTGCCCCAGTGCTTTTAACTTTAGTGACTGAGATGAGGTTTCTTTTCTTTCTCTTTGTTTTGTTTTTTGAGACAGGGTTTCTCTGTGTAGTCCTGGCTGTCCTGGAACTTGCCCTGTAGACCAGGCTGGCCTCAAATTCACAGAGATCCACCTGCTTCTGCCTCCCTGTGTGCTGGGATCAAAGGTGTGCGCCACCATGCCTGGTTTCCCAACTCTGAAAACTCCTTCAGGAATGTTTCCAGCTGATTGGGGTATCACTTGTCAGTTCCCAGAGGATATCCCCAGAAGGCTATGGCACTGAGCCTCAAGTCTCTAACAGCTATATCTTTAATAAGCTCACTCACTGCACTTCCTTGGGCTCAGAACTGGTCGGAGGTCACGTGGTTCCAGCCAAACAGCTGGGTCATCTATGGTTGAACCTGTAGGCCTCTAGTCAATCTTGGGAGGTTGAATCCCTCTCCATACACCAAGGCACCAAGCTACAGTCTTTTCCAGGGTTCTGTGGTACTTCCTCATTCTCTCAATGTTTCTTTTTCTGGCTTAACCCCATGATCCCTGGGGAAAGAGCTCTGCATTTCTAATGTTAGCCATTTCCGCCACAAGTTCTGACAAGCCAGCCAGCTCCAACTCTGTTCTCCTTTTGTTTGGCAGCTCTTTTGTGACAGGAACAGCTTGTTGTGGGCACTTCTCACCTCTGAGAATCTGGGACCTCAACAGGTAAGAGATTCCTAAACCCACAGTGGTATTCAGTGGGGGCAGGGCTAGGAAAGCTGGGGGACAAAGGAAGAGCTAGCTACCAGTCCCTGCCAGTTTGTCCCCCCCACACCAGAGGAGGCAGGGGAGAGAGCACCTCCCACCAGCAGCTGCACTGCCTTTCTGGGGAGACAGTTGAGATCACTGTAACAGGCGAGTAATTTCATGTAGGATTGATAGTAGCCACTTGGATTTAATATATCTTCTGAAGAGTGCCTGGCAATGTAATCTATCCTCAGAGGGGATTTTTATAACATAAAATATTTCAAAGGTGGCCTACAGAACTCATAAAAATAATTGTGTAGGGCAATTAAACTACAGCCAGGTTCTCTTCACAGTTCTCCAATTGGCAAGATTAACACACTCTTACTGATTGTCCGCCATTCTGTTTTTGTCTGTTTGGTTGGTTTTTTTGAGACAGGATTTCTCTGGCTGTGCTGGAACTTACTCTGTAGACCAAGCTAGCCCCAACTCACAGAGATCCACCTACTTTTGCCTCCCAAGTGCTGGGATTAAAGGTGTGTGCCACCACTGCTAGCTTGGTTTTGTTACTTTTTAAACCAAAAACCTTTTTTGGGGGTGGTGGGGGGAGTTTGAGGCAGGGTTTCTCTGTGGCTTTGGAGGCTGTCCTGAAACTCACAGAGATCTGCCTGCCTCTGACTCCGGAGTGCTGGGATTAAAAGTGTGTACCACCACCACCTGTCTTAGCCAAAAACTTTTATTTTGAATTAATTCTAGATTCGTAGCAAGTTATAAACTAGAACCAAGGGGTACTTGTGTTGTTAAAATGTTTAGGTTTATCCAGTAAGGAGACACAAACCTCGACTCAACAATCCCACGTGGAGTTTATTGGTGGACGGGGAGGGAAAAGGGGGGTGAGAGGTAACCAACCCGTGTGGAGCAGAGAGAGAGACAGAGTAAGATGAGAGTAAGAGTGTAAGAGGGAAAGAGAGTAAGAGCAAGAGCAAGAGCAAGAGCGAGTAAACGGGCAGGGGTCAGTCCTTTAAAGGGGTCCTTTGCACCTGCCTGGTTCTCACAGAACTCTGGGCTGGCCAGAGTGTTGCCTGAGTGCATCCTGCCAGGTAACAGGGCAGGCCAGAGTAATGCCTGAACCTTCCAACTTGTATAACATCTTATGAAATGTAGTGTGTCAAAAGCAGGAAATTGACATTGGTACATCCCATAAGCCTTTCTTCTGATTAGTGCCTCCAGCCATAGTCAAGATATACATTCCTCCTCATACACCCTTCATGCCTGCTGTTCTAACTCCCTACAACCACTTAGATGCTTGCCTCTAATTTTGTTATTTTGAAGATAGGATATAAATGGAATTGTATAGTATGTGACCTTTTTTGTTTTGTTTTTGGAGACAGGGTTTCTCTGTGGCTTTGGAGGCTGTCTTGGAACTCACTTTGGTAGACCAGGTTGGTCTCGAACTCACAGAGATCCACTTGCCTCTGCCTCCCGAGTGCTGGGATTAAAGGTGTGCGCCACCACCGCCCGGCTGTATGTTACCGTTTTTAAGTTTTACTTATGTGTAGGGTGTTTTGCCTGTTTGTGTGCCTGTGCACATCCCATTGTGCCTTCAAGCACTGAGCACAGAGTCCTCTGCTCAGCACCAGGTCAACTTCCAGCCAGCATTGGTAGCTCAGAGACCCACAGGGCATGGAGTCCGCATTCATACCTGTTCCACAGGTGCCTACAGATCAGAGTCACCTGAGAAGCATGCTGCACTGGGAGCCCAGGAAAGGGGTTTGAAAGGACGAGGGGTCTTTAGAAGGACCATCTGTGAGGTCAGCATCAAAGGCACAAAGGGGGCAAGAAACCCCAGCTGTACCTAGGAAGGGAGAAGGCTCAGGACACAGACAGGCGAGGCTCACACAAGCTGGTCATCTGAAGTTCAGGGAGAGCAGGAGGGACTGCTAAACTGGAAACCATCCCTGAACTCCAACTTCAGGACCAGTTGCTCTATGTCTCCAATCTGGATGTGATCCACTAATTTCCAAAACCTTGAGTCTGACCACCTATACAGAGAACCTTGGTGCCACGCCTTTGGTCTTTGGGAGACAGATCAGATGCAAGTGGGAGGGAGAAGAGGGCTCCTGGGGCCGTCTCCTCACCTGCAGCAAGCCGTTGGTGCTAGAGGCTCCAAGCCTGTTATGAGTTGGATGGTCGGGAGGAGATCCCTGCCTGTCAACCTTCCAGTTTCTGCTTCTCATCCCTGTAGTAACCGGGTCTTACACTGGTAAGACTGAGTGGGGGTAGCCCCAGGGGAAGAGCAGCCATACATGTTGTACATATCAGAATCTCATTCCTTTTTATTACTGAGAAGTATAGTAGTCCATGTGCAGAGGCGCCAAAGTTTCTTTCCCTGGTGAAGAACATTACCCATTAGGGACATGTGAGTTGTTTTCAAGTATGACTACTGCAAATAAATATCTACTTATGCATAGTGTCTATGTGGGCATACTTTTTTTTTTTTTTTTTTTTTTTTTTTGGTTTTTCGAGACAGGGTTTCTCTGTGGCTTTGGAGGCTGTCCTGGAACTCTTTCTGTAGACCAGGCTGGCCTTGAACTCACAGAGATCCGCCTGCCTCTGCCTCCCGAGTGCTGGGATTAAAGGCGTGCGCCACCAACGCCCGGCATATGTGGGCATACTTTTTCATTTCTTTTTTTTAAGATTTTTAATTTATTAATTTATTTTTCACATTCCAATCCCAGTTCTCCCTCCCTCCTACATTTTCATTTTTTACCAAACTTTTTTCAGCACATCTTCGCCGTTTTGCATTTCCACCAGCAGGGCACAAGGTATCTGGGTTTCCTTATGTCTTGACCAGTGTTTTTGTATTGCCACGGTTTTTTTATTTAGCTGTTTTAGTACATGTTATAATATGATTTTAACTTGGTTTCCTCTGATAGCTAATGATGTTGAACATACGTTCATGTGCTTATCTGCCATCTGAATGTCCTGTTTACAAAATGCTAATTCATGTCCATGTCCATTACATTGCTTTTCTACTGTTGAGTTTTGAGCTTTATATAGTCTAGACATTCGCCCTTTGTCAAATATTAAAAATATTTTCAAATATATAGGTATCTTCCCCTAATCTGGACCTTGTCTTTTTGACCTTTTAATTTAATTGTCTTCTGCAGAACAAATTTTAAATATTTATGTGTATATGTTTTGTCTAAATATCTGTCTGGGCACCATGTGTGTGCTGGGTGCTGGAGAGGCCAGAAGATGGTGTGGGATCTCCTGGAACTGGAGTTACAGACAGTTGTGAATGGCCATGTGGATGCTAGGAACAGAGTCTGGGTTCTTTGGAAGAGCAGCCAGTGTTCCTAATTATTGAGCTGTCTCTTGAGCTCTCAAACTTGAAACTTTGATCCATTCTAAGTTGTGATTTTTCCTCTAATCAGCTGTGCCACACCTGAAACTCTTCAGCTATCCTGCATGGGAAGAGGGGTCTGCTTCTTCAGCCTGCATGGGAAGAGGGGTCTGCTTCTTCAGCCTGCATGGGAAGAGGGGTCTGCTTCTTCAGCCTGCATGGGATGAGGGGTCTGCTTCTTCAGCCTGCATTGGAAGAGGGGGCTGCTTCTTCAGCCTGCATGGGAAGAGGGGTCTGCTTCTTCAGCCTGCATGGGAAGAGGGGGCTGCTTCTTCAGCCTGCATGGGATGAGGGGTCTGCTTCTTCAGCCTGCATGGGAAGAGGGGGCTGCTTCTTCAGCCTGCATGGGAAGAGGGTCTGCTTTTTGCTGTCTCTTCCCCAGCTGCTCTAGCTCTGTCTCCTCTCCTCCCCCTCTCTAGGGAAGAAGGGAGACACCGCATGTCTATTTTCTGAATCACATGCTCCACAGCTAGTCTCCCCAGGTGATTTCCCAACACAAGGTGCTTAGTAGAACGATTTTCTTCTACATTCTCATGATTATCTGAGAACAGGGACAGGATGCTCAGGATCTCCTCAAGTTACATTGCCTTTCTGGTCAGTTCTGAGAGGCAGAATGCCCACTCTTTGAGGTGGATTTGCTTCTTGGATTCATAGGCCTGGACAAGAAGCAAACTGAATCCCTCTCCTGGACAGCAGGTCCCTGGGTGTCTGGAAACCTGGTGCCTGTCCCTCTACGCTCTTCTTTTTCCCAGGCCCACCATTTTAGCTCCTTAGTTGTTCTTCACAAACAGAGGTCATCAATTAACAGTAGCTAGCTTTGGGCTCCAGTTAATGAAAATCTAATTCAAACCACTCTATTAAGAATGGAATTATGATCGGAGGTGGCAAAGAGCCCAGAAGTTGGGGGTGGGGTTGATGGGTTTAGTGGCCCATACCACAAGGGCCGCATTCACCTGCTTTCTCTTTGGGATCTCAGTCATGGTGTCTTTTGCCCTGCATTCAGGCTTAATTAGAACAGTGCCACTCACTCATAGGGCAGCATTCAAAAAGAAGGAAGGCTTGTCTGTGTGTAGGGCCGCTTCCTCAGAACTGCTGAATAGAGTTCTCCTCACATCCAATTGTCAAAACTATGTTCAAGGATCCTAAACCACACCTGGCGAGGGACAAGGAGACGTCTTGAGAGAAGAGTCAGCCTCTTCCAGACATATTGGTCCTGGCAGAGAGAAAGGCAGGTGCTGCAGAATCAGGTCTGGTTAACAGGAAAGAACATGTGCAGTGGGTCAGCGGTGCCCTACAGAGTTGACCTCAGGACCATTCTACCTTCAAGTGTGTGAAGCAATCCCTCTGAGCACTGACCAGTCCAAGTGTGGTCCCATGTCAGATGGCTCTCGCCCTCCTCACTTTAGATCTCCTTTTGTGGGGCTGGAGCAATGACTCAGTGGTTAAGAGCACTGGCTGTTTCCCCAGCGGACCCAGGTTTGATTCCCAGCACCCACGTGGTGGCTCCCAACCATATTATTACAGTTCCAGGTATATCTGTCAGCTTATCCTGGCCTCTGAGGACACCAGCTATGCC